GCTGGCAGGGTTGTGGTAGAAGGCTTAAAGACTGTTTGGGATTGATCTCAAGCTACTCTTAAACCACCTAATAAACACATTCCACATTTTATTTAAACTAAAAATGACTACATGTTTGGTGCTTATAACCACCTTTTAGACAGAAAGAATCACTACCTCTATCTTGACTTTGTGGGTGTGCTTAAAGTGTTTATGTTTTGATATATCCAATCACCTGTTTGTCCTCACATATGTATGTATATCAGTAGAAGATAAACTCATGTTTATTTTTTGACAATTTACCTTCCTTTTTTAGAAAAAAAGAGGATTGAGAGCTGAATTTCAGACCTTCCAGTCCCAGGACACCGGAGGAGGAGATTCTACCAGTGGTAGAATTCCTATAGTAAGCACTTTTATCACAAACGTAATTGCTTCTCTAAGCATAACCTAGCTCTTTAATAAATATCTACTCTTCCTTCCAGTTATTTTTGCCCTACATCAACCTAAAAAGGAAATCCTCTTATCTACTAACTTAAATATAAGGAAATCTCTAGACCAGAACCTAGAAATCCAGCACAATAGCTAATAGATAAAAACATCAATCTAATAGCAATTGAGACCATAAATATAGAGCAATTTTAGTTATAACAGTAGCATTGATGTGCAGGTGAGACCATGGATGTATGTCTTCAAAAGACCTTACTGCATCTGTATAGAGTTATGGCATAAATATTCACATACAAAAACCACAAAGAACACCATGTTAAAAATATCAAACAGTAGGCTTTTATCCTAAAAATAGTATGATAACTAACACAAGTTTGCTGGCAGGTACAGTGAACTATCAAATAGAAACATATGAAAGTAATAAAAACTAGAATTGACAGGAAAACAAATAGAATTGGTTATAAAACTCAAGAGGTTTGGTTTGTAGTTTTTTAGAGAGGATATTATTTGTTCCTCAGAATCAGAAGAGATTACTAAAATTTCTTGGGTGTAAATAGCTTAAGTTTGAGAGTGGTACAAGAAACATCAAGGTACTCACAAAAGCTTTGCATTTTTCATCCATAGAGCTCGGCGAAGCCGCTTAGACTGCTTTCTGAAGTGAAATGCGCCATCTTGCATAGTTGCCGTTTTGTCAACAAGAAGCTCAATCCTATCACCTCTCTCCAGTATTTTCTCAATGTTGTCAACCATAATTGTGCGTATCTAGAAACCAAACTTAATTTCTTGAAGATTAAAAAAAGAACTGCTTTCTTAAATGGGTTAGAAAATAGAAAAGATAGCAAAGACCCAAGGCATGTGCTCAATATCCCAAAGCATAAAAGAAGATAGAAAGGGAACATATTGAGCCAAAAAAAGCAAATATAAATACAAGTATTACAATGTGTATCCTCATGTAACAAAAGACCCCCAATATAACCAAATGACCTCAGGCAGAGACACCTTAACCCTGTGAGAAAAGCAACTGGAAGACCAATTTTTTTTTTGAAAAAGAAACTGACAGGAGATAATAAGACACTGTAAAACCAAATAATTGGAGAATGAATAAGGAGACTATATTTCAATCATTCACACTATATTTCAATCATTCTTCTGGCACATCTAGGTTTAGCTTAATTCATGGTTGATTTCCCTTCATATGATAACTACGTGGAGCTTTCTTAAACTAGCTATGTAGACACACGAGGAAATTGTAAGATTAGCACGCCACTCCTTACTCCAAAGGAAACTTCTGCATTTCCCTTCTTTTTGTCGTAAATTGATTTAGCAGGTCAAGAGGAGGTTTGGCACTCAAAAGTTAAATAAGAAGTGGAAATATTGGGGAGGTCTCCATTCGTGGAAAGTTTAACTACTTCAAACCAATTTGTGCAAATACTGGGGAAATTTATATCAGTAGATCAATGATCGGTCAGTGTGTGCTTGGTTATGAAGAATAAGGTACTTTTCAGGAGAAATTCTGCATTACAACATGTTCATTTAAAGGTTTTGGACTTTTGTAAAAACAAGGCTGCAGTGCAGTTGATATATAGAACTATTTTCTAGTCTTTATTTTCTTTACCAATATGTATGTACATTTACATATATGCATATACACGGAGACGTATGTACATATGTGTGTATGTGCGTGCGAGTCTGTGTCTCTAATTATATGCATGTACTCTCTGTGTGTGCGTGTGTGTATAAGTATGTACACATGCATGTACGTATCTATGATCTCTTACGCTAGAACAGAGTTTTCTACAAACCTCAAAAAGAAAAACTTTAACTTATTTTCAAATTCGTACTATATTTTTACTTTTTCTTTAAAATATTGTTGTCATGAACTCATAGCAGATCTATGAAAACTTCTTAGAGTATAATATGCACAATTTGCAATGACAAAATTTGTGAAAGGGCACAAAATCATAGTCATGCTTCCAAATAGGCACAAAGTGATTCAACTCAATGCTTAGTATGATTTTATCTGCTTCTGCTTAAAAATAGAGACAAAGAAGATGTATAGGCTACCAATGGCAAAAAATGCCAATTTGATAAATGCTCGAGATCTCACACAAACTGCAAGTACCAGATAAGGAAGTTAACAATATGGTAGATGGTGGGACACGGAACTGAACGGAAAAGGAAATATGTAACTCCTTTTACATACTATAATTACTAAGACTTTCAGAGAAAATAAAAATTAATAAGTTCCCAGTTAAAGCAAACATCGGAACATGGTGTCAGATGATAAATACATGATAACAAGCTTGATAGTAATGTAAACACGCCAGCACAAGAATAGATACTTGCCTCCCCAACTTCTCCTTTCACACGATTAAGAGTATCAGCACTAGGATTGCTAGAGAAAAATTCCATTTGCTGATGTAATACCCTGGAGAACTCATCGTTCATTGCGTAAGCAGGAGCATAATGGGCCACGCGGCCATAGTTTTTCATGAACCTCATATGAATATCCTCCAAGTATGAAAATGGAATTCTCCCTGAACAAAGGACAATATGCAACTTAATTCATGAAGCATGGTTTTACTTTTTACTTTTTTGAAGGAGTTCATGAAGATAAAATAGAACGCAAAAAGTGCAAAAGATCTCCAAATCCAGCAAGAAATTGTTGGCAAAATACTGCTCCTGTACTTGCTATTTTGCAGATTGTGTTGGTTTCAAAAAGGAAAATCAGATAAACACAATCTTTTAAACACAAAAAGAAGATTTTATATAGACAGAAAGAGAATGTAATGGTAGAGGATAAGGTGTCCTCTTAAAACAAGTGAAAACAGAAAAAAGAAAAACATAAAGAAATAGGATAAGGAACATCAATACAAAAAGAACAGCAAAATTTCCTCTGCATGGTGCACAAAGATTCCCCAAAAAAGGCATGCACCAAGCTCACAAAGAAGCCACAAAAACTGATGTATCCCAAAGAAAGTCTGATGGCTGAGCACATTAATGAAGAGATGGAATCAAAATCAGTAAATACAAAAGTTATTCATTCACAGTCGACTTGTACCATATTGCTCTTTTCTTTGCAACTATAAACCACAAAATATTATATGGTGGTCAAAGTAAAAAAAAAAAATTGGAATTGACATGCATCCTCAAATCTGCTTAGAGTCAAATTATGAGGTAAACACACTTTGGCCCCCTTCAAAAAAAATTGTGGCTCCATCACTAGTTAAGGATGCTAATAAAAAACTTAGCCTTATGTCTTTTTTTTGGTTTACAAAAAGAAAAGCAATATTATTAGAAAGAGAAGAGAAACAAATGCATCAATAGAGGATATGATATATTCCAAACAATAAAAAAGATAGAGAAAAATAAGCAATAACCAACAGAAAAAAGCTGTCCAAAGAAAGTCCAACAAAATTCATGAGCCTTACTGCAAACTGATGTAGCATCAGTGAAATAGGTTTAAGAAAGGTAGAAAAAGACAAAACCCAAATCGACAATTATATAAAATGAGGAATACAAATCAATAATAATGTTGTTAAAACACTCGATCAACAAGAGATTATTAGTATCGTATTCGTAAGCAATTCGAGTAAAATCACATAGGTATCCATAGAGTGCCTAAATAACCTAGATACCTAAACAAGAAAACAATAAAAAATTAGGATTTCCGCACATTCTTAGTACAGCTATAATTTCCAGAATTGTCTTTGTCTTCATAAATTCTTTGCCAGATATGATTTCCGATCAAATTTTAGAAGAAATAGTTTTGTTCTTTTTTTAATCCAATTCTTTGCCAGATAGATCCATAAACAAATCAGCAGAATTTACAACTAAAACACAGTCTTAAAGTAAAACGAAGTAATCATTACATAAAATTTACAGTTCTTTATCTCAAGTTTTCATCCTAACTCCTGTCACAGCTTACTTGGCACACAATTCTTCAAGCACTTCAGCTTGACCTATTACCATACCTAGAAAAAACTCTTAAAGAGAATAACACAGCCATCTGATTTCATCATTCTAACGAGTCCCCTGGTGAGTTCTTGTTCTTTTAATCTCACACCGGTAATAAAATTTAAAGGCACAGGAAAGAATTCTTCTGAACATTGTTGATATAGTGCAAGATCAGAAAACCAAAGTTGCCACCTAATGCCAGAGAAAGCACATAAGTACACAGTAAACCAACAAAAAACCAAAGTTTCTGCTTTTCCCATATAGAGAGACGGGCGAAACTCAAGACAGCAAATATTAGATTTACAATTGAACAGCGAAAGCTACCTATCATCAACCACATCAAAGAGAAAGAAATTATTAGTAACCATCAAGTCTATATTAAATTCACTAGTTTCAAGCACTTCAACTGCGAAATCCGGTGACTCGCCATGAGTTAAAACCCAAAAAATGGGAAATAAAAAAACAGAACAAGCAGAAAACAAAATGAAATCCTAGAATAAGGTGAATTGCTATAAGATGATGGAAAGGAAAAGCACAAATGAACTGAGCGGAGAGGGTGGAGAAGAAAGAAACGCACTGCCGAATGTGTCGTTTGACATGCAGAGGAATGACAGGCCATCGGATCTGAGGATGTGGAAGATGTAGCGATCCTGGGAGAAGCAGAGCCTGGAGTCCCCTTCCGACGGAAGCTTCTCGAGAATCCGGCGAGCCACTGCCCCCGTGTTCCCGGTGACTGCACTGAACTCCGCAAGGACCACCGTCCCTCGCGCCACCAACGCATACAGAATAGCCATGGCTCCCCTCCCGCTCTCTCTGCGTATATATCGATGCCTGTGTACGATTAGTATCAATATGCGTGCTGATTGGATTTCAAAGGGGAGAAGAAAGGGAGCTGATCACCCGGAAAGCTATATTACCGGAAAGTCCACGGCGGGTATTTTCTTCTCTGCGGAGATTTTGATACGCTGACAGTAAGGACAACACACAAACACTACCTGCCTTGTTTGAATTCACCTCCTCCCTATTTTTCCATCCGCGTATATATAATATTTAATTTAAGTAGTGAAAATTTACTGTAAATTAATTAAAATTAAACAGAAAATAATTAAAAACTTTTAAATTTCCAAAAACAAAATTTCGTAAAAAGGTATTTTTGTTAATTAATTATTATAAAGAAGATATTTTAGTACGTGATAATTTATATTCACTAGTAATTACTTTAAATATTTATTAATTATATAATTATAGCACTTTTAAACATAAGATTAATTATATAATTACAGCTCATAATATTATATATATTTATTTATTTAAATAAATATTTATATTTTATTATTTGTATTTTACATCGTAATTATGACAATTTAATGATTTTATTCGTAGCAAATTAAAACCAAATACAGAGAATGAAATGATGGATAAACTCATAATGATTTAAGCATATAATTTGTACTAATTTCCTTTTTCTTTTAAACAAAAATAAAAATGAATACGGTAAGAAGGGTACTTTCGTACTTTTAATGCTGATTTGAGTCAAAAGTGCTGGCAGGACTTCCCTACTCTCTGCTTAAACACAACATTGAATTGAGCCCCTCCTGTCCTGTGGCCTCTCCTTGCCGATAACTTGCCTGCGATTGAACGAGCAAAACACGCGAGGTACAAAATTCTCCTCTCATCTATCGTTATCTGTTTATTTTTCTACATTTACTTGCTTCGTTTTCCTTGTTTCTGTTAGATTTTGAACTTCCTTTGGTAAAATGCATGAAGGTTGATTTGAAACGATTTTAGTGGTGTCTTCATTTTTTCGCCCGGTGAATTTTCTGTTTGGTTGTTTGAATTGTTGAAGCTACATTTTCGTTTATGTCTTCAAGTTTTGAATCTGAGACGGTGAAAATAAACAGTTATAACGAAAAATGAATTGCAAATGTCTATGCACGAAGTGAGTCCATCGCATAACTTTTTTATAAAAAAAATTCACGAGTCGAGGAAGGCTCAGGAAAGGAAGTTTTGTTTAAAATCCAAGATGGAAATGGCTTTTTATTGAAGGTAATGCCTACGGTTATTGCAATTAACTACAACGAACCGATTATCCTAGTCAAGGCTCTGAGTTTTATGAGCCTGGTGAAGACTTGAGAGTTGCCTTTTGTAGAGAATTAAGATATTCACCTGCTGCATTTTCTGTTGTTACAGCATGCATAATGGAGTGTGCTACAGGTCTTGATCTCCAGAGAGATTGTCGTTTATGAAAATATTTTTTCATACCAACCATCACCATCTGCTACATCTGCTACACCTTATATCCTTGAGTCTGATTCTTCTCCACCTAGTTCTCCTACTACCACCATAGTAGAATATCTTATTGATTATTTCGATATACCAGTACCCAATCAACCTAGAAGAAGCACTAGAGCTAAAAGTAAACCCACATGGCTCACTGATTTCGTGTGTAATATTGTCCAATCACCTTCACCATGTGCTAAGGTCAGTACTTCAGTAGTAGTTCCTGTCGGATCATCATACCCGATTAACATTTTTCCCTATCATCCTTCACCAATGTTTCATGATCACTACATATCATGTATGGCTAATGTTTCTGCAGTTACAGAACCAAGTTCTTATAGACAGGCTTTCACTGATGCAAGGTGGGTGAAGGCTATGCAAGATGAGTTAGCAGCACTTGAAAGGTACTAGACTTGGGTTTTAACTGAATTGCCTAAAGGGAAGAGGGCAATAGGCTGCAAATGGGTATACAAGGTGAAGTACTTAGCAGATGGCACTGTTGACAGATTTAAGGCAAAGTTAGTTGTCAAACGCTACAATCAAATTGTTGGGATAGATTATTATGACTCATTTTCTCCTGTTGCAAAAACAGTAACAGTCAGAGTATTCTTAGCATTGGCGAGTGCATATGGTTGGCCTCTTCATCATTTAGACATCAACAATGCTTTTCTTCATGGGACACTGCATGAAGAAGTATATATGTAGCAACCTGAGGGATAATACTAAGGATACAAATGGGCAAGTATGTAGATTAGTGAAGTCCTTATACGGATTGAAACAAGCGTCGCGAGAGTGGAACTATGAATTTTGTTATCAATTGCAGCAGTTTGGTTTCAAACAATCAGAACATGACCATTGTTTATTTACTAGGAGAAATGGAGGTTGTTTTCTTGCACTATTTATTTATGTTGATGATGTATTAGTTACAGAAAGTGATGAAGTTGAGATCAATACTGTGAAGGTTTTCCTTGATGACAAATTTACTATTAAGGATCTAGAACCAGCACATTATTTTCTAGGAATTGAGATTGCTAGATCTTCTGAAGGGCTGTACTTGAATCAGCGCAAGTATATCCTTGATATTCTTCAAGATATTGGTTTACTTGGCAGTAAACCAGTCAAGACTCTATTGCAAAAGGGACAAATATTATAAACAGATGCAGGTGGTTTATTTTTTGAACCTGACAAATACAGGAGATTAATAAGGCGGTTGCTTTATCTCGATATCACAAGACCAGACCTCATATATGCCATTCAACAATTAAGTCAATATGTTAACTCTCCATGTCAAGTACACTAGGATGCAGCAGTTCATCTTTTACGATATCTCAAAGCCTGTTCCTCTAAAGGATTGTTTCTGTCCTCTCAAAATGATCTCAATTTAAGAGCATATTGTGATGCAGACTGGGCTGCATGTCAGGATTCTAGAAAATCTCTCACAGGCTACTGTATTTTTCTAGACTTTTCCTTAGTTTTATGGAAAACAAAAAAACAAACTACTGTCTCACGTTCTTCAGCAGAAGCTGAATATAGAAGCATGGCCTCCACTGTTTGTGAGTTAAAATGGCTTTCCTACTTATTACATGATTTTGGTATTAATGTTTCTCTGCCAATTTCCTTGTATTGTGACAACAATGTTGCCCTTCATATTACTGTCAATCCAGTGTTCCATGAACGCACCAAATACCTCGAAATTGATCGTCATCTGGTCCGTCATCATTTGAATGAAGGTTTCATTCAACCTCAGTTTGTTCCTAGTAAGCAGCAACTAGCAAATATTTTCACTAAGAGCCTCTCATTTCTTCAGTTTGATTTTCTCTTGTCCAAGTTCGAATTGGTTGATTTCCATCAATCTCCACCTTGAGGGGGCGATGTAGAGAATTAAGATATTCACCTGCTGCATTTTCTGTTGTAACAGCATGCATAATGGAGTGTGCTATGCCAGCTGTATTTCCTATTATAACAGTCAACTGTTTTGTTATTTTTGTTATCCATTTTTGGTGTTTTTTTTATTTTTTTTCTTCGACCTTCTTCTTTGAGATATATAAGTAGCAGTTGCATTTTTGTATAGGGTGTAAGAAAATTACATATTTTAAATAGAAAGGTTTCTTGGTTCGACAACTTACTTTGTTCACCTTTTAATAATATCAATTGTCAGTTCATTAATAATTTTGGCTATGTGAATGAATTATTGAGTTATAGTAATTTTATAATTAAATAAAGAGCAGTATAGTAATAATATCAGTTGTCAATACCTTACATCAGATATTAGTCCCTAATGAAAGCGGTATGTTGGTTGGAATTTGTAGAAAGGCATTGCAGAAACTAGCTTGGTTGATTTGAGTGTCGAAGGGAAAAGGAAAGAAGCATCATTTCAAGGGAATCTGGAATTGGGTTATAAAACCTGGAATTTATGCTTTCTCTGGTGTGATTTCTAGCTGTTGTCCCTGATTCTGGCAATGCAATGTACTTGGCTTTTCATGTTAATCCGAATAAATCATCTTCTTTCCACCGATGGAGTTTTTTGGTTTGTTAATGTGAACTATTAGTACATGGTGGTTCTTTTATTTATTGCTTGGTGTAATCCAAAATCAAGTAAGGTGCCATAACCTGAAAATCTGATAAAGAAGTCACGGTTTCAAATATTTAAGACACATTCATCATTTCATTTTTCATATGACTCATCTCAGTTGTGGTGTTATGGAGTGCTAGAATCCATGAGCTTCTGCTGAAGACGTACTTTGACAAGAATCAATATTTTTTAACTTTAGGATTCACTAACTGCAGTCTGATTGGTGGTTACTATTAGAGTTAATTGTTACCTGTAAATATAGGATTACAAATGTAATTACGTAAAAGTGCAGGGTCTTGTTTGTAATTAGCTGAAACTTAAACACGGGTTTTACCGCATGTATGAATACCATCTGACTGCAGTTAATAATAGATGACTTTTTCCCCAAAATTCTCATTCTAGATTTTTCTCTCATCTCTCTCTGTATCGACTTCCTTGCAAGTTTTCACTCTAAATTTTTCTTCTTCTTGAATCAGATTTCATCAGCTTATTACAAAATCTACTATGGTATCAGAGCTACAGTTGAAAGCTATTTGGATTTTGTTGCTCAAACGCAGATCTTGGAACATTTTGTTGAGTTCTTCTCAGTTTGATCTTTATCCAGAATCTCGATTAATCATGGATGCTTCGACAGTTTCAGATGCTTCAAAGATATAGTATCTACAAAAGTATAGTAAATGTTTAATCTGTTTTGACTTGCCTTTTCCTGAGTACTATCTGTTAAGACATGTTGGAAGAATCTAGAAAGTAGTCATATGAAATTATAAAGATCTTCTCAGGACACAACTGTCTTCCGTTGGCAGCTTGCATGTTTTCTAATGTATTATATCATCTTCTAATTTCATCAAATAAAAAGTGGGAAACAAGATTGGGATGATTTTGCAAACACTAGAAAACATCTCCAGTATATTTTTTACCCTACTGTCAAACATTATGCTTTTTTAATTGACAACACTTTGCATCATACTTTTTAGATTGTTGGACTAATTGAGATTTTGCAGTATCCAGAACAATCTATTTTAGGCAAGCAGACTGACTATTCAGAGAATTTTCTTTGATTCCTTCTTAGGCATTAACTTTGATTCAGCTGATTGCTAATATTGATCGCATTACAATAAATTAAACAAACCCAGTGATTTAAATACACTCACAGGACTTCCCACCTTGACGAAATTGAATAAATTTCTAAATGATATATGTTGTTTGATTTTTGTTTAGGAACAATGCTTGTCAGAATTTTGATGTTTATTATGAGCAATTATTCTTTGTGTGCATATATGTGTGTTCCTTTATATATAATTTGATACAAATAAACTGTAAAATAGCTACAAATTTGAGACAGTACACTAAAATTTATAGATACTGTACTTACTGTGTTAAGGCAAAACTGAGTTATTGAACAATGTATTCTCTACTTCTTCGTTACTACACCACAGAGTTTCAGGATATCAAACAACTTGCAAAGATAGCTTCTTCCGATCAGTAGAATCTTTTTTTGTCCAACTGTCCATTGTATATGTAATATCCGGCCCAGAAAAATTAATAACTATTATTTTAATTATGGTTCAGTAGAATCTCTTTTGGTCCAACTGTCCATTGCATGATGATAAACCACCTTTTGCAAATGGTTCTATGTATCAAGTCAACCTACTATAGTGTAAACAATTAGACTGATCTCTTTTTTCTTTACGCTCCTCTTGGATTTGTTTTAATGCTTTCTTTTTGGCGCTGAGGAGCTAGAGCTCCTGTGGTAATCAGGGGAATAAAATTCCAGACCTTAAGCTCACCCGTCAATCTAAGATGAGGAGAAGTAACGATTGGCCAATGGCTCTTGGTATTCATGCTTTTCAACTTAACAATAAATTTTCTGGCCCTTATATTTCTTTGCCCTTTTGTCATACTGTTCAAATGCGTATATACACAGGTTCTATGTACTTAGATGTTTACATACTTGATATATCTGCCTGTGTGTGTGTGTTTTTGTTTTCTGTTTATAATTCTTCCTTTTCGACGCAACAGTTTAGCTTTTGAATTTCAGGGAACGTAGTTCAACAGCATGAAAATAAGGTGGTGATGATTTCAGATCTGTATAAAGCCAAAATGATTTCCAGTAGGTACTCTTTCAAACTGATCAGTGTGAAATAAAATTAATTATTTACTTGGACACCAAAAATTTATTCATTTACTCTAAAGAGATATAATTTTCTAATCACCACTATCTTAGAGGATTCAGTCGTATGTTACATAGAATGAATGTCTGCATGCAGCTTATTTGTTTTTTTACCCTTATTCCCAGGGAAGAAAAAAATTTTTACTTCTTAATTAAGTTGCTTGCCTATTCTAGTTTAGGACACCTATAAAGTGTCAAATAACCATGCTACAAAACCTATGATTAAGTCCAGTCCAGGTCTAGCTTTTCCCATTCCCATAAAGGTTGTTCTAGGCCATCAACCATCTCCACATCTGTCTGTCCTATATTCTCTTGGAAATCAGAATGGTCTCCTCCAGAATGAGAAGTCTCTGATGAGCTCTCTTTTTCTGCCACTGTAGTGACATGAGAAGATGTTGAAGCCCCAGCACTGACTGGCCTTGTTTCTCTTGTCACAGGTTCTAATGGACGTCTGTCAAAGGCTCGGAAGCTGCCTGATATCACATAGATGCGGTGCAGACTAAATTCGTGCCTCAACTACATGACGAAAGAGTAAACAGGAATTATGATGACAGTAAATGGAAAATACGAGAATGCAAAAACTAGTTGAATGTTGGAAAAAAAGAAAGAAACTGGTTGATCCTGCAGTGGTCATGCACGTGTGCATGTGTATGGAAGCACCTTAGGAGCAGAAGCAGATGGGTTTGCTGCTCCTTCAATGGCTCTGTACTCGTGCATCTTCCATTTTGTTTTCCTGCCAGTAGGAGCTCTCCCCTTGTAGAAAACCATAGTCTTCTTTACTCCAATAACTCGATTATCTGACGAGTAAACATAACTTGGAGAGCCTGTGGCTTTCCAGTAGCCAGAAGCTGTAGTTCGGCTTGGTCTACCTCCCCGAAACTCCCTCTCTTGTCTTGGTGAAAAGAAAAACCACTGTTCGGTGTCCCCTTGGCACAGCTCTCCCGCAAGCTCTGCAACATAGATTGCACAAAAGGTCAATTGTTATTTGTTATTCCATTAAAGTCAAAATATCTTCTCCTAGCATGCATGCATATTCATATATCTTGCATTTGAAAGTAAAAAGATCTGTACCAGGGAGGTCCCATGGCTCATTATCAAAGACACTGATAACCGGGATGACACGGTGCAGGTCCTGTCTCCTCCCTTCAAGCTTGTGGCATAGATAGAATGAAACTAGCTCCTCTTCAGTAGGGTAGAACCGAAACCCAGTAGGCAGCTCCTCCATGTTTTGCTTGTCTGACATGATATGGCAAAGGGTAGTGTGTGTGTATATATATATATATATAGGGATATCTGGTGTGAACCGACAAATACATTGGAAATAAAAAGGTTTGAGGGATACGTATAGAGAACCGAGTGAAATTAGAAATTTTGGGGAAGTGATGTTTTTGATTGGAAACTTCCACGCGGTTGTGTAGAGAAGATAATGATGATATGTTACTCGGCCTTATAATGCGCTTTTCGAATCAGACCAAATCTTGAATCAGTCGCCTCTTTCTATTTCCAACCGTGGCATCCAGGTAAGCAACTGAGCTTTCTCTGGGTAGTGCCACTCAAATCTACCTTTGCAAGCCCAATCAAAAATTGGACCCATCAAAAAAATACTTTTGTTAACAGTAAGTCAACAACTATATATATAATTAAAATCTTAGGGTTACTAGGTCCCGAGATGAGGTGGCGTGCTAGCTGAGCGGGGAAGTCAAGTCGGTCTAGCTCTTTTTACGTACATCAAACATTAAAAAAATAAAAAGGGTCAATTACTAAATTAATGTTAAAAATTTTAAATTTATTATAATTTAATTTTTATTATTTCGAATATTTAATTCGTTTATTTATTTATTTTTTTTTGATATCACGTTGTAAATTTTTTAAAAATAATTAAGAAATTATTATTAATACATTTTAAAACAAAATGTAATTAATTTCAATTCTTTGTTCAGAATAAAAATTTAAACATTTAAAAGCAAAATAAACAATACAGATTGGAAAGACTGATTTGCTTGATACAAAATTATGAATAAATGTTTATCAGCATGAATTAGTTGTAGCATCATTTTGAAGAAGTCATATACTGAACGTTTCAAAAAGTGCAGAAGAAATTATTTATTTATTTTTTTTTTTAGGGAAAAGAAAAAAGTCTTCCTTAAGAACTTCATAATGTGTCAACTCAATTTGCAATAAACTCATAAAAGACTGACGTTGAAATAATCTAGTAACATTTGAGGGTTCTATGTATATATTTATGATTAAGAGGTCATTAATTTATATTGTAACGGTTCAGAATTTAAAAGAAAAAAAAATCATAAATTGAATATGGAAGCGGAATAATAGAGTTAGAGTTTACATTCTTTACACAATAGTTTAAAATAACTAATAGAGTTACGAAAATATTCATTCTAAAAAAACAAACGAAAATTAAAGAAATAAATGAAAAGTAAACAACTTAACATTTTATGACGATTTTCATTAGCTTTTGAAAACGGGAATGAGGCAATTTTGGGTTTTGTCTGCGATTTTTCAGCTCATCTGCTGTTCATTTTATTTCAATTTGATCATGCTAGTGTTCAGAATCCATTTCGAGCAGATAAGAGAATTTTTACTTTTTTTGGCGGTCGGAGGTGGCTCTGACGCTGTAATGGGCGGCGGTCGGCTCCCTTCTTCGGCGACTAGTTCTTCTTCTCCAGCGAGAGGCTGGCGGCTAAGGTTTGGATTCGGTATGATACGAGATATTTATACCTATCTCTCTTAAATCTACACCGTTCATCGCGTTTGATCTCGACTTCTCGATCACGTTTAAAGAAAAAATGAATATAAACTATTTATCGTAATTTGACCTCGACCGTACGATCGCGCTTAAAGAGGGAAAAAATTTAAACCGTTCATCGTGTTTAATTGCAACCGTCCGATCGTGCCTGAGGAGAGAACAGATCCAAACAGTCCACGCGCGCGGAAACACATCTAGGTCGTCCGATTGCGGACACGCAGATTGCCAGCGTGGCCTCCTGCGTGGCACCAAGTCAGCGTGCTTTGCCACGCGGCGCGCTCCGCTTCGTCGGGATTGTTGACTAGACGGTCTTACGTAACTTAACTTTAATAAACTTCAAAACAATAAGAGTAAGAAAATATACATTATTAATTTATCTATTAGATTCCACAGGTATTAAGAAAAAAAAAGTATCATAAAATTGAATTCCACAAGTATTGCCTGCGGTTTCTGGTCAATTCGTCTGTCTTTTTTTTTTTCTGAATTGGCCATGGAAGTGTTTAAAATTGAATTTCAAGTAAAGAAATTTTTTTTACCTCTTTTGGCAGTCAGAAGTGGCTCCGGCGTAACAGCAACTTCCTTCTCGGTAGTTGGGTCTTCTTCTCTGGTGGGGAGGGTCTAGCGACTAGAGTTAGCGTTTGGTGTAAAAATGGTTATTTATATCTGTCTTCTTTTAATCTGAACTGTTCATTGCGTTTGATCTGCACCGTCCGATCGCGATTAAAAAGAAGTGAATCTGGACCGTTCATTGTAATCTGATCTGAACCGTTAATCGTGTTTAAGTCTGACCGTCTGATAGTGTTTGGGGAGGGAACACATCCGGACCGTCTGTGCGCACAGGAGCGAATCTAGATTGTCCGATTGCGGGTACGTGTATCGCCAGCATGACTTTCCGCGCGGCACCGCATCAGTGTTCCTTGCCACATGGTGCGTCTGGTTCGTCGGAACTGCTGACTGAGCGTCTTACATAACACAACTTTTTAAAATTATATTTTGATATCTAATTTTTTATTTTTCTTTCAAAAATACCATCAGAACCTAATTTTTTTACAGATTTCTTCCAAAATTGTTTTCAGTTTCATCATTCACCTATTTTTCTTCAATTTTACATTAAATTAAAATTTAGAAATTTAAAAATTATATTTATAAATTAATTTTAAATACGTCAAAATTAATTAGATATTACAATTAGATTCCACAAGTATTTAGAAAAAAAAAAAAGTATCATAAAATGCAATTAAATTTAGTACTTTTTAATTGAACTTATTTAAGCAAGCACGTGTTTTTTGTACACAAAGAGGACCTTTTCAAAATTAATAAGTTTATCAAATTAAAATAATTTTTAATCAATTAAATAGATCCCTTATGTTCGGCTTTAATACTTAATGAGTATATTATAAATTAATAATTATTAATTTATAATATTTTATTTAAAAAGAAAACAAATATTTTTTCTATCAAAAAATTTAATCGTTAAAAAAATATATGATATTAAATGTTCGTACGTATAATATATATATATATATATATATATATCTACATATGTACATGTTCGTGTCACTTTTGAGGTAATGCTCAACTGCCCTTGGAGGCCATCCATGACCTACTCCCTGTACAATTTCTTCAATATCTTTTAACTCTATCCAACCGTATTATCGGTTGAGTTTAAACCTAATTATGTGGGCTATTTTTTTTTTTATGTTAATAAAAAATTTGGAAAAAATTATAAAACTTCAAAGGGATTCATATTTTTGCCTTAATTATTTTTTTAAATTAATTTTATACATTCATTAATTAATATATATATATATATATTAATTATAATATAATAAAAATACACGAGAATATAACCTAATTTAAACTTATAAATTATTGTTAAAATCTTATTAGCTTATTTCTTTTTACCTCAGTCTCTAAGAACTGTTTTTTTTTTTTTTCAAAGATTATTATGTCAAGGTTGTGCCTAAGTTTGATCTTTTGTAACTATTGCTCGTGGTGATATGCTACAAATTCTAATAAAGTTCGTTTTTTTTTTTATACTAATATCTTACTACTCGAGCACTGATGTAAATATTTTATTATCCATGTATATATTTTAACGTGTTTCTTCTTTTGAGAAATTTTTATATATTATATAAGTAGCGACATTATCTGTAATATATTAATTTTTATGTTTTTTTATTAATTTATTAAAAATATTATTTAATACATCCAAAATACTTATAATTTATAAGTGGTTACATGATAATATTTTAAAATGTGTGATATTACTAGTGTGTTAAAGGGAAGTACTACATATATATAAAGATATGATATATTTCATTTAGAGGAAAAAACTATGACTATCTTTTCTTATCTTTTACATTATTAGATACATCTCTTGCTAGTTCTAACAATAAAAAAGAATACATAAAAAATATTGATGAAATTTGGGTATAGTTGGGGCTTAGAGTTCAGAGAGAGATAACATTGCAATATTTGAAATATTGATGATGGAGAGAAAGAGGGAGAACGGCCATGGAAAGTTCTGAAATAAAATGAAATTGGGATTTAATTACAATTAAAGAAACCAAATGGAGACAGAGATCTCAAATTACCTGGCTCGACGAAGGTGGTAAAGATTACAAGGTTTAAGCAGCAAGCTGTCATACGCAAGAAAAGGGTGAATAAGATGGCGTTCATCAAGCATGAGGGCTCTCTTTTTTCCAATCCAAGAAAGATGGAGGAGTAAATTTACTCCTTTTCAGTCTGCACTTTCAGAAAAAAGCTAGTGCTGCAATGTGATTCAGATAACTCAAACATGACAAGTCTTTTCCGACATCCACGTGTCCATGCTTGAGGATCACTTTAGGAAGGATGAAGTGTGTGGAGCTGCGTGATATATAGATGGGAATAAAGTGCCTGCAGGATGGGTTTAACTTTAGCTTTATCGGGACGTGTTGGTCCTCCATTAAAGATGAAATGATGTAGGCGAAGAATGAATTTCACTCCACTAGAAATTTTGTGAAGCCCTTAATGCCTCTTTCATCACCTTGATTCTTATAAAGGAACAACTGATATGCTTGAAGGATTTTCGTCCCGTTTCTCTTGTTAGGTGCATGTACAAGATTATTGTCAAGACACTTTCCAAACGTCTTTTTAAGGTTGTCATTTTGATTTTTTTTCGACCATCTCTCGAAGACATCAAAGTTGTCAAGCGGATTCTTGGATGCTTCTGATTAACTTTTGGAAGAGCTCCCTCATTTAACGTCAGGTGTTGAAACTGACTTGCATGACTGGGCTAGATAAAATCGTTGTGGTGTTGGTTCCTTACCTTTTACTTTTCTTAGCTTTCCTTTGGTGCTAGAACTAACATCACGCAAATTTAGAAACCTGTTCTTGATAAAGTGGAGTCAAGATTGGCCAGTTGGAAAAACAGACACCTGCCTAGTGCTAATACAATTACTATGATCACATATATACCTACCATTCTTCCTACGGTCGTGAAGAGTAAAGTTGAGGGAGTATGCTAAAGAGATTCCTAAAAGGTGAGACTTTGTAGTGAAAGAAAAATAAATCTAAGTTGGCTGGATCCTAATTTCGCCTACGTATATTATGACATGTTCATTTTTCTTATTTACTACGTACTTATATAATAAGTTTAAGCAATATTATTTTTAAACTTGTACTTATAGGTGGTAAAAGACGATGTATATCACCTTTAGAAAGGACTATCTGCAATTACAAAATAGCACTTAGAATTACATTGTATATCAATAATAACACAATCAGTCTCTTTAACATAAATAAATATAAAACATACAAACCAACTCAACTCAAATCTACATAGTAGATAAGTGGATGTACACAAATTTTTCAGTAAGTAATTTCATAAAATTTAAGTATGTATAGATAAGAAATGAGAAGAGTGAATTATAGTCAACATTACGTACGGAAATCATGAATACGGGTGGGGCACTCTTGTGATGTCTTTATATCTAGCTAACACCAGTAAAATTAATATATTTCATGCTCAAGGTTAAAAGAGTTTTCATGTCATCAACAATACCGATGATAGATAGAAGGAGACGACATTAATTGCACTTCATCAAAACCAACCACTAAACTCAGGCTCTAGACGCCTCTCATTAAATATTGTTTGGTTGCATACGCACCCACACATATATACACACGCATAAACATACCCAGCTGAGCTCCATATTTGTGGTGTGAAAGTTTGGTTTTCAACTTCAATGGCGGTTAAACCAGTTTGTGCGGCAAGTTTCGTCTTCGCTTTGGGTCTGATGTTAAGTATTCTTCAGCCCTCTACATGTCAAAATGTGAAGGGGAAGGTCTCTTGCCTTGACTGCACCCGCCCTTACGACTTCTCAGGTATCTCAACTTCTTTAATTAACCTGCACCTACTTGAAGCTTGAAAAAAATAAAAAATAAATTTGTTTTTCATCAGGTATTATGGTTGGAGTGAAGTGCGACGGGGTGAGGAAAATAAGCAGAGTAAGTACAGAAGAAAACGGTGCGTTTGAGGTTGAGCTTCCCTCAGATTCATTCAATAAATTGAACTGCATGGCCAAGTTACTCGGGGGTCCAAATCAGCTCTACGCTTCAAGACAAACTATGACGTCAAAGCTGATCCAAACACACGGTGAGCGTAGCGTCACAATCTCCACTCCACTTGCCTTCTCCACCGGGTGTCCTAAATGCAGAGGCAACGGCGTAGACTCATCCAAGACCGTTGATCTGCCTCTGCCAAAAGAGTGGGGACTCGCACCTTCTAGCTATTATTTTCCCTTCTTCCCAATTATTGGTATTCCTTGAAGTCACTTTCCCTTACTCTGCTATACCCAATATATAGAAATGCATATATATATATATATATATATACACAGATATGAAGCAGAAGGGTACGTACGAACTGATAGGTGTTCCCGCTGTATCATGTACTAGTCTATACGAGTGTTTGCATGTTTGTGTGTTTAAACTTTGAAGAGTGCATTTAAGTAGGTTTCTTGTATTGAATATTTTCATATGTATGTGTATGTGTAAGCAAATGTTTCTATTAATAGTTGTGTGAGCTGTTTATATAAAGCTTCCGTTTAATGTTTATATATGCGTGCGTGTGTGTGTGTATATATATATATATATATTAGCAATCTACCAAGACATCTTCGGATTCACATTCACAACGCAGGAAAACCATGATGCTGTAAGTCAAAAACAAAAAAAAAACATAATTAAATAAAAATATATATTGTAAGATTTTAAGATGTTGTGATTTGTAGTTGCAGCGACAGACATATATTATTTATTAGGAGACAAGTTTAGACCTACAATGATTTTTAAGCACCGATTTTTTTGATACTAACTATATATATATATATATATATATAATATATATATATATATACTAACAACACAATAGTTGGTGGCATAGTATTAACCACACAATACTATCATAAGTAGGATATTTATATTCTCTTTAAAAACCATGAATTTTATAATTTCTTACTCTTATAAATACATTCTGGTAATTATATATAAATACACATGTAAAGATCATCTCCAAATCTAAGCTGAACTGATTCCCACAATCACTACAGAGACACAATTGTAGAGTCACACTGTTTATACCGATTCCCATAACATCAACATCTCCATCTCCGCAAATATTTTGATAAAATACATTGATTTCATCAATCTGTGCCACAGATCTCAGTTGGCCTTTCCAACTAGTCTCATGAAAATCGTGTATCCGCACAGTTTCTTCATAAATAATCTCACTTCACTAGTAACAACAACACAACAAAAGGCATACCGTCATCCTAAAATTTTGTTATTATATCAAAACTCTGAATGATCAAGGTCCTTACTGTAGATACGTCCATCAAACACACCACAGAAACCAGCCTCCAAACAAATTGGAACCAAATGCTACACAAACTGAAAAACAGATACCCACTTTTTCACCGTGCAGTTCTCCCAAGGCAAGGATAATCTGATTTTCACAACACAAAAGGAGAAGACGCAAACGAAGTGGTATACAATAGATATTAGCAGCAGGAGAAGCCTTAATTTCAAACCAGCAGAGACTGCAGACTCAAGTTCGAGCAGAATGGCGACAGTATCAGTTGGAAGTTTGATTGTTTTAAGAACTGGGAGAATGTCTAAGGACGGGTTTAAACTGATTTCCCCTCATCCAAATTTTGACTTACAAAATGCAAGTGAAGAGTAAATCATCAATAGAACAAGTACCAAACCATTCTTCTCTCTTCTATTTTTGAAAATAACAAACTACTGTCAATCTGGTCTTCTCGGAGCAAATTTAAAAGAAACAAAAGTACATTAGACGGATAAAGTTCACGTTTTAAGTTTCCAAGTTCAGCAATAAGCATGCTATCAATGTGATGATTTACATCTTTAGGATTATTAAGATGGCCAAAAACATAAAACCTAACTGATACAAGAAACAAAAATCTTTCAAAGACATCAAGAAACAAAAAAAACATTTTCAAAGGCTTAAAGAAAGCAAAAAGGATGTTCTGTGACTGGATCCTTAACAATCAACTACCACCCTAAGCTGATAATAATTAGAACGTTACGATCATTACTGAGATAATGGCTGCCCTACTTTGCGTCAGAAGGGGTAAAAGAAAAAACTTGCCCTATTTGGTTCCAGGGCTTGCACATGAAAGATTCTTCATTAGAAGCACATATAGGAACAAAGGGGGCTTTTACTTTTGGGAATTAAGAATTCACGAGGTTGTAAATATTAAATCTGATCTGTTGGTTCCAAGTTTTGAATTACACAATGCAATTAACAATTCAAAGTACCAAACTGTCTTTCCTTTTTTTTATTTTTTGACAGGAACAGATTACGATTATCTGGTATCCTGAATGCTAATTAAGAAAGTACAGAGAACATCATTGATGTGACTGAAGTTCATATTCCAGTAAAAAAGTTTGGCAGTAATGTGACTTCCCAATAAACATGCTCTAAGTACTAGGCTTTACAGCTTTAGGATGATTAAGGTGGCAGGAAACATAAAACCTGATTGACTCAAGGAACACGCAAAAAATAAAATTCAAAGACTTAAAAAGGACACAAAAATATTTCAGAAACTCCATTCCATGTTCTGTAATGTATCCTTAAAAGTCCACTACTGCCCCCAAGCTAAACAACATAATAACAATCATAACGTTATATGATATTTAATTAATCATTGCCATTACTTTCTATCAGAAAAAGAAAAAAAACTTAAGCTGCTTTACTCTAGGACTTCACACACGAAAGGTTCCTCGTTTTAAAAGACACAGAAACAACAGGGTTTTTTTTTTTTTTTTTTTTTTTATGCCAAAAGCAACTGAATTAAGTTTTGAGAAAACAGCAAAGAATGCCGCAGTTTTAGCATTAACATCACATCAAGTAACTGGTCCATTGAACCCCTCAAAGTATATATGTAGTGCAGTAGCTTCTCCGTCAAACGTCCGCTAAAGTTTGTCACTTCAATTTAAAGATATCAAACTATTGCAAGCATGCAGCAGCAGAAGAATGGACATTACTCCAAAACCCATCAATGGCTATTCCATCACAATTCTTCTGACTTCCACACCGACCCCTACAACAAATAAATAAAACTTGCAATTGTCTACACTGTTCGGAGAAGATGAATTCCACCAAAACTTTGTGGAATTTGTTTCCAAATTCACACTTTTTATCTTTAAAATCATTGCATACTACAGTTTTTATACAAAACTGAGAAAATGCCAATCAAATTTATAGGAATACGAAATAAATTAATAAGCTGAGAAGAAACCAAAGTTTGATTTCTTAGTTTCTGTTTCTCAACATAAAGGGAAGTTTTCTTTCTTTCTTTCTTTTTTTTTTTTTGGAGAAAAAACGAGATACAGGGATTCTATATAATCTTAAACTGGTAGAAACTATCATATTTTATTTCAAAAGATCAAATTTTATTTTCAAAAGAAATCTGTTTAATTCATTTAGAACGAAACAGAATTTCATTGTTGAGTTGAAAGCCTGAAAGATACGCAAGTGTCTACTTTCAAGTAATTCAAAACTGCATATTTTGCTCGATTGAATATACTAAAAAATCTTGGTCCCTTAATGTTCTTCTCACAATTTCTCAAGACCCAAACAAACCCAAGTATCATAAGCAAGGGGAAAAATCCTTAATTTATCAACATACACACAGTCTTTCCTCAGAAATATAAATAACTTGATAATTAAATAAAAAAAATTACATATCTGAATCAGTAAATAACATTAACTCAAAAAAGAATCTTCACCAATCCACTACAATAATTGATCCAAAATTTTGTAATAAAGAAAAAAAAAAAAAAATGGCTAAAGCGTCGGTGAATCAATCAAGAAAACCGGTTCTTCTCCAAATAGCATTTCTTACCTGCCTCAGATCCCTCCCTTTCAACGTCCGACCAACTCCTTCAAGCACAGAGCAGGCGAGAATCGGAGTTTGCGCCGAGTCCCTCGCCACAATCTCGTGAGGTGGCAACATCTCTCCTTCCTCCCCAACGTCCTCACCCACGTCGACTTCGTCGAAATCCCTGTGTCTCCTCATCGCCCGCGAGAGGACCGGCACGTTCACTGGAGCAGACTGATGGTACTTCCCTCCGACAAAAGGAGAGGATGAAGGGATAGGAATCCTCTCCTGCGGGGGTTTGGGAACGGAGGGAATCATACGGGAAGAGGAAGAGGCGGAGGAGGAGGAGGAAGCAGAGTTGGAAAGCGAGGCCTTGTGGTAGAAATAATTGCTAGGCCGGTTGCTGTTAGCGGTCTCGGGAAGCGCGGCGAGTATTCCAGAAAGCTCGGATCTCTGGAAGGTGTTCTTCTTGTTGTTATTATGGTTATAGTCATGGAGGCGCGGGGTGGAGGGGGAGGAGGAGGAGGGAGTGGACGTTTGATGGTGGTGGTGAGAGAAATCGGTGGTGAAGATATCGTCTTCGTTGAGCTCGTCGTCGGCAACGGAGGAAGAGGAGGAGGGATTGTCGGATGATGACGGCGCGTGGGGGTAGGCGGCGAGGAAACGGTCAGAGGAGGGAATTCCGCGATGGTTGCGATGGAAGCGGGAAGGGGAGGGTCCGGTGAAGTCCATGAGAATCGGGATTGTAATTGGGGGAATTCTTGGTGGGAGTGGGCTTAGGAGTGAGAAGGAGAAGAAAGTCAGTTGCTTTTTTTAAAATTAAAAAAAAAAAAAAAAATTAACATGGGATCCACGTGCGGATTTTCGAGGTTTTGGTTTCATGGATGCGGGGCGGGTTTCCCCGTGTTGGGTCAACCCGTCAAGTTTTTCTCCTAAACGATTTAAAATTAAACTAGCCTCTGTATATTTTATATGTATGTTAAAATTGATTATGTACATTTAAAATTTATACAAATAAATTCCCAACTTAAAATTATTTTTAACATATAACCAAACACTTTTTTGTATCAAATACTTATATATTTATCGGCACGTTAATTTAATAGTTAAAATTTTTTATATTTTATTTAAAATTTATTATTTTATAAAGTATATTATAAAATAGTAATAACTATTTTATTTAGTAACACTTGTGACTTAACTTATTAATATATTAATTAAATTGTAATGATCATATTAAGTTTTCTTCTAACGAATCATGACGTATTCTGTAGTTATTAGATTTTCTCGTTAATATTAACTCAATTTAATATTTATTTTTTTTAAAAAAAATAATTATTTTTTATTGAATGATAACTAGAATTCGAATCTTAAGTTATGCGTCTCTTTTGTGTTCATTAAGAAATTACTAAAAAATATATAAATTCTACTAAAAATAAAAAATTGTTTGTTCAGACTACAAGATGAGAAATAGATAAATTATCAACAGTTCAAAGCAGGTTCAGGGAATTTTTTAATGATTCATATCAAACTCTTCCATGTTATATGGTGTAAATCTATTATAGTTGAATGTATATGATTAAACTTCACATGGTTCTATTATAATTCTAATGTATATATGAATTCTTTGACAATAAACTTTTTTTCTGTCTACATCAAATTGTAGCTGTAAATTTGAGAAACTTGAAACCTTGTTTATGTCAGATTGATTTATTTGCTTTTCTTTTCCTTTGAGTAGTTTTAACTCATTATTCACTTGAAAATTAAAAGATACAAATTAGTTTCAAACTCAGAGATATGCAATTAACACCCTTCAATATTAGAAGGTTGATTATTGATCAGTACTAAATCAAAAAACAAGCAAAAGGCAAAACTATCTTAGGAAATTATTAGGAAGTAAGGTTTAAGGATGAATCTTGAAGGTAATTCTGATCAGGGTTTGGGTGCAAGACCAGTCTTGAGAGCCTGGATGGTGGTAACATCAGTTTTGAAGGACTTGGCCAAGATGGTGTCATCAATGCCTGTGACAAAAAGCGTGTTAGGTAGAGAAACAGTGCCGGCATTTGCGCTACCAAAAGCCGAAAGTGCCAAAGCCAGTTTCGTCTCATCGCAATTATACTGATAATGCACAAGTCCCTTGGGGAAAACAAATAAGTCTCCAGCCTGCAATGTCTGAGTAAAAAGCTTATTGGTTGTGTCCACAAAACCAACTTCAAGAGTTCCATAAACAAGGAAGAGAAGCTCCGCAGAGCGAGGGTGGGTGTGAGGTGGATTGGTGGTGCCTCCTGGATACTGCAGGACAGCATAGGACACGCTCTGTCCGAGCAGCACTGGGAATTCAGCTGCGCTTGCCTTTGTCACTTTGAATGTCGTTGGTTCCGGTGCACCAATCAATGCACGGAAGCCAGTGAATGTGAAGAAGTTTCCATCAATATTTGTTACATTCAATGGCACTGAAAAGTCGGAGACAATGTCTGGGTCTCCAGCCAATGCAATCTGGGATATGGCAGTTGATGCAAATAGAATTGAGAAGAGCTTGAGAATGGAAGTTGTTGATGCCATACTGAAGAAATCTTGGATGCTACAAAGCTGTGTTTGGATACGAGAAGATGAGTGATATTGTATTTGTATTGTGTGATTTTGTATATAAAAAATGATCCAGTTTGTTTTCTTGTAAATGCCTGCTGGCATTTGATATTACAATGTTATTGATAATTACGTATGAGAATTATAATGTCATTCTTTTTGCTGTATGCTGCTGTCTTGTCTGGTTTCTGACTTTGGCCAC